AACAGAGCATTTACTTAAATACTTGTATCTATAAAAAAGAATGTTAAACATAAAAAAATGTCTTTAATAAATTGTCGGACATTGTCCAATTAATATATATATATATATATATATATATATATATATATATATATTCCTAGGACGAGACAACAGTTTATTTTTTTTAATAAAGATTAAATTAGTTTGATATAAGGCAACAAATAGGAGCACTCAGTGAGAATCGAAATCACTGTTTGGCTAGTAATGTTCGAGGAGATTATCTCATAACAACATTATTTCAGGCCAAGGTGTTTTTCGAACGAGTCAATTTGGCTGTGTTTTAGCACAAGATTGTATTGCATCAAGTCTGAACGGTACTCAGTATTAATTGTGAAACAGACTCGTGGTCTAACCTTATAGCTCACGTTCCGTCAACAACCAGACGAGTTGCCTTTAAGCTCGATTGTTTTGTCAAACTGGTTTTCCATTGAGTTTTATGACTTTGTCCACATAAAAGAAAATATATTATCGCCCGAATTTGTTTACCGCCTAAGCATTATGAAAGATATTCTTCCGTTTGTAAATACATTCCCGTTTTCTGTCTTTTAATGCACACACAGACTTATATATATATATATATATATTCAAAATTATATCCTATATATGTATTCAAAATTATAACACACACATATATATATATACATATTCAAAATGATAACATATATATAGATATTCCAAATTTTAACATATATATATATATATATTCAAAATTGTATATATATATATATATATATATATATATATATATAATTATAAAATTATAACATATATATATATTCAAAATTATATCCTATATATATATTCAAAATTATAACACACACACATATATATACATATTCAAAATGATAACATATATGTATATTCAAAATTTTAAATATATATGTATATATTCAAAATTCTAAGATATATATATATATATATATATATATATATATATATATATATATTCAAAATTATAACACATATATATATTCAAAATTATAACAGACATACACATACATACAAACGCATATATATATATATATATATATATATATATATATATATATATATATATATATGAATATACTTTTTCTCCTAGTTTCATTGCTGAATAATTTTTGTAATAATATTAAACTTGATGCTCGGTTAAATTTAGAATGTGACATTTGTAATTTTTAATTTTAAATTTTAAACTAAACTGCGAAATTAAAACTTTATTAGCTATATTGATTTCTAATTTATCTAATCTTAACTTTAATCCACTAAAAAGATATATTCAAAATTATAACACACACACACACACACACATATATATATATATATATATATATATATATTCAAAATTATAACATATATATTCATAATTAAAAAACATTTATATACATTTATTTATATATATATTCAAAATTATAACACACACACACACACACACACACACACACACATATATACATATATATATATATATATATATATATATATATATATATATATATATATAAATATATATATATATGAATAAAATTTTCCTAGTTTTATTGCTAAATAATTTTGTAATAATATTAATGGTGATGCTCAGAAAATTTAGAATTTGATATTTGTATTTTTTAATTTTAATCTAAACTACGAAATTAAAACTTTATTTGTTTATTGATTTTAAATTAAATCTAACCTCAACTAATAACTTCTACTTAGGGTATATTGTCACGTTATTTTGAATTAGCATATAATTGTATTCTGATTGGTCATCATAGGTTACGTTTTAATGTTTCCCCTACTGGGGGGGTGATTGGGTTTTGAACTCTTAAACTATTTATATTGCATTCAACACCATCACTTGATAAGAGACCAGTCGTGTTGAAACAAAATTCTCATTTTGCAGTGACGTTATAATATGCATAGGTTATAATTTTGAACAAATATTATTTGCTCTACGTGGTATTGAGCACTCTTATATGAATAGTTTTTTGTTATCAGAATTCTATTCCATCTGCACCAATATATATATATATATATATATATATATATATATATATATATATATATATATATATATATATATATACTGTTGAGACTTTAGACATCCATGGTAATTATTTATTTCATTGAAATCAATCAGATCTCGTTTCTTTAGATCAAAAAATTTACAACAAATTGTTGTAAAAAATTCTTTGGTCTGAAATAACGAGATCTAATTGATTTTATGAAATAAATTATTACCATGGATTTCTAAAGTCTCCGCTTTTATCATTATATTTGCTCTGTTCTTACATTGAACTCTCTTTGGATTTATATCGTCTTTGAAACTATCCCTACTAATTATCAAATAACATATATATATATATATATATATATATATATATATATATATATATATATATATATATATATATATATTGACCCGTCATATAGACTGACATGCTTTACCGATTTAGCCAAAGAGGAGCGTTTCAGTTAGCAAAGTCGATTTTACTGTTTTTAAACTACAATTCTCCATGATTTTCTCTCGCTCGTGCATTCATATCTGTTCGATGCGTCATTTGGCTACACATCGGGCAGATAGGAATATATGAGAGAAAATCATGGAGAATTGTATCGTAAAAACAGTAAAATCGACTTTGCTAACAAAAAAGCTCCTCTGTTGCTGAATCGGTGAAGCATGTCAGCCTATATGACGGTTCCTTATAGGATACAGGTTCGATTCCTATCTATTATATATATTCTATGAAAATTTCTCGGACATTCAGGCCGGTAAATGTCGTTAATACTGTTTATTATAAACAGAGCATTTACTTAAATATTTGTATCTATAAAATAAAAGAACGTATAAACATAAAAAATGTCTAAAAATAATTCTCGATTCTTTGTTCATTTCATAATGTGTGACGTAATATATATATATATATATATATATATATATATATATATATATATATATATATGTATGTATTCTGGGAATGTTGCAGTTTGTGCCCCCCGTCTTCCCTGAGGCTACGCTTGTGTAAACATAAATCACTCAAAAAAATCGTTGATAGAGGATAAATATGCCTCGAGTCATTTTTAGGTCTTTCTTTCTTTCCAGCAATTTTTTTTTTTTCTTTTTACTCACACACACACACACACACACACACACACACACACATATATATATATATATATATATATATATATATATATATATATGTAGGAATATAAAATATCGCACACTGCTGGTCTATGAAACGTTGTTCGATATGTAATAACAGATGTAAAATTTATATTAATAATAAATATACATATATTTCACTGGTAACACATTTCTGTATTTCTTGGCTGATGCAGTTGCCAGGTTCTGACTGAAAACTGACCATTTAAATATTGATATTCATAAACCTACTGTAATAAGAGGCAGGCCATTTATTTATTTACAGAGGGAAATATATATATATATATATATATATATATATATATATATATATATATATATATATATGTCTGTATGTATAGTTAAATTCCCAGATTATTTCTGTGGACAAGACAGATTGCTATAAAATGACAATTGGAAAAAAAAATCTTAGATTTTGCCGACGCGTTTCGTCTTCCTACTTTTTCAAGGCAAAAATGAAATCGAAATGTTTTTGTTGTTATAGTTACATAAAAGGGATTATTTTTTCTCTGTCGACAATATAGTTAAAAAATCCCTTACTATGAAGGTAATTTACATTAACCAGAAAAAATGGCTTAGACAGAAGCGTCTATCTTTTTAAATTTGGAGTTTTTAATGTAACTATAACAACAAAAACAAAATCTATGATTTTTTCCAATTGTCGTTATATATATATATATATATATATATATATATATATATATGGAGCACTTTGGGTTTTGTGTTCGATTCTTACTAGGTGCTCCATACTTTTGGCCTTTTGCTTGAGAGAATTTGCATGAAATTAGAACATATTTAAAGATAAATGAAGATAAAATCTTGAGGCAAAATATTTGTAGTTCCTGCAGAAGGATGCTGAGAATTGTATGGACGGAGTGTGTCATCAACGAAGAATTCTTAAGGAAAATCAGAAAAAAGACATTATGTTCCAAATCCTAAAGAGCAATGTTATGAACACAAAAGAAACGAATGCTGGACGATTTCCTCAAGGATGAAGAAGAGACTCGAGGTGATAGAGATGTGGTTCTACAGAAGGATGCTGAGGATTTCGTGAACCGAACGTGTGAGCAACGATGAGGTCTTGGAGAGAATGCAGACAAGGAGGAGGCTCATGTTTAACATCAGGAAGAGCAGCTGAAGTTTCTAGGACATATACTGAGGAAGGAGGGCCTTGAGAATCTGATACTCACGGGTCGAATAGAGGGAAAGACAGACAAGGGAAAACAATGCATGATATACCTGGCAGCCTTAAGCAAGTGGGTGACAGAACGTGGTTTGAAGGGGAAAGCAGAGGGGAGGAACCCGCTGAGAGCTGCAGGAGAGAGAAGAAGGTGTAAAGCCATGATCGCGCACGTCCTGAAAGAACATGGCACATAAAAAGAAACAAGAATGACTAAAGGGTCTTATAAAATCGAAGACTAAACAGAGAGAAGTGAGTCATCTGTCCGACTAGTTTATTTAAATGTGTGGCGGAAAGAGGGGAAGAGGTAAAGCGTTACAAACAGCTGCAAATGATTGGAGGTTGTGGAGGGCTTGAGTCGATCACATCCTGAAAGGATACGGTACACAAAATAATGTTAGGCTGCTTCATATCCCTCTTAAAAAAAATCTCCCTTTATGGACGTTTCTCTCTGTTTCTCTCTATATATCACTCTAAGCTCACGAGCATATCGTGTTGAAACATTAGTTCTCGTGGGACCACCGCAGTTAAGCAACGCAGATAACAGTCAGAAATAGATGGGTGACAGCTTGGGGTTACAAGCTTAGATGTACGGCTGGTATAATAGAAATTGCAGAGCCGAATCTTTAATTCTATCAATTTCATTCTTTTCAGATCTATCTGTCATTTCCTAATCAATCTATCTCATTGTGTTCAAATCTATCTATCTCACTGCGTTCATATATATATATATATATATATATATATATATTTATTCAGACGATCATTTTAGCACTCTCTCTCTCTCTATCTCGTTCTGTATATATCTTTCTGTCTATCTCTCTATCTAATATATATATATATATATATATATATATATATATATATATATATACATATATATATTTATTTCAAACCAGTCATTTTAATCTCTATCTCGTTCAGTTTCTTTCTTTCTAACTCACTTCATCTTCATTATCTATCTATCTATCTATCTATCTATCTATCTATCTATCTATCTATCTATCTATCTATCTATCTATCTATCTATCTATCTATCTATCTATCTCAGTCTGTTCAATATCTATCTATCTATCTATCTATCTATCTATCTATCTATCTATCTATCTATCTATCGATCTATCTATCTATCTATCTCAGTCTGTTCATTATCTATCTATCTATCTATCTATCTATCTATCTATCTATCTATCTATCTATCTCAGTCTGTTCATATCTATCTATCTATCTATCTATCTATCTATCTATCTATCTATCTTTATATGTAGGCACACACACACGGGCGTGCCCACATTTATCTATTCTCTCTCTCTTTCTCTCTCTCTCTTTCTCTCTCTCTCTCTCTCTCTCTCTCTATATATATATATATATATATATATATATATTCGTCACTCCACATTATCAAACTCAACTTGTCCATTTTAATCTACCTTTCATTATTTCACTCTGTATCTATCTCACTGTATATCTATTGCTCAGCTCTCCCTATCTATCTATCTATCTATCTATCTATCTATCTATCTATCTATCTATCTATCTATCTATTTCTGTTGATATAATAATGTATACTTTTTGTATGCAAATGTTTCCAGATAAAAAAACCGGTTTTAAAATGTATATTCAGTCAATACTTTCAGAAATGCCACGTTCATGTACTCTCTCTTTCTTTCTCTCCCTCTCTCTCTCTCTCTCTCTCTCTATATATATATATATATATATATATATATATATATATATATATATATGTGTGTAAATTTTCCATATCCTTATTAAAAGGTGTTCATTATTGAGAGTGCGTTTGTCGATATAAACACTGATGTCATAGAAATCAACAATGCACGCTGATTGTCATTTTCAAGCCTGAAAATGACCCAATAACGATTTTTATAATGTACATCCTTCTGTGGGCGGATGTAGTTAGGTGTGGTGTGGGTGTATTATGCGCTAGGTCTGTGGGAACACATTATAATATGAAAAAATTAAATAAAATACAGTCGCAATAATCTCCCCATTTTCGATGCATTTACTGCAACGTTTCGGCAGTTGAGCACTCCCGCCTTCTTCAGGTGGCTGCCAATCCTTCTAACCTTCATGGAATTTCAAACTGAACTATTTATTTTTTCTCTGTCTACCAGTGTAGATTATTATCGTTATTGTCGTGAGATATGAGGTCTTTTTTAATTTAGTACAGCTATGTCAGTGGTTGTATGTGCGGACTGATTGCCAACCAAGAGACAGACGCAATCTGTCCTACTGTTTAATCCATAGCTTTTGGGGGATCAAAGATGTGGATTCATACCATTGCTAATGGTATTTGCACGTAATAGACTATAACGAACCCAACTGGAATTGGAACTCGACTCTACAATTTCTAATTACCAGTTATTATCCATTACAAATATCGTTGGAAAAGGTATGAATTCACCCTCCAGCTATGGGTTAATTAGTAAGACTTGTATCACTAAACCATTATTATCTAAAAATATTACCTAGCTTTAAATAACCTGTAAAGGGTTGATAATCCGTAAAATATGAATCAATCGATCAAGCAATCATAAACTCACAATTACAGTACCTCCAAATTCATGAATCCACATTTTAAATCTCTAGTCGATTTTAGCCCCAAAAAGAAACTCACAGGTTAAAATTATTTATAAGTTACTTGTATTGATGGACATCTAAAGAATGTCTGAGCGTACAAAGGCCGAAACTGAGATAACAACAGTGAATATGAAGATATTAATTCATCATTGAGAAGTACTGATATATTTATTCTTTTTATGTACAATATACTTTCATCACGTGGGCGATCATGACTCTCCACAACTTTCCTACAAACTCTATTCATTACATATGCCACGACATACAGCATTATAACAAAAAGGGAAAAATCAAACCCTAGATATCGTTGTTATGCCAATTGCAATTGAACTCGGCATTCGTCGAGAAAGCTTTTGGTGATCAGTGCAGACCCCACAGTAAATCAACAATTCCTATGAGGTGGATTGGTTTTCTGAAAATGGACTGTCAGTGATTAGGAATTAATTGAAGCATGACAAGCAATATCGTCTTGTATCCAAGATTTTAATTTCTTCTTTACTGATCGCTTCCTTTATGATGACGGCGTTGATGACTAAATTTGGCGATAACTTGTGGGTTCGGGACTAGAAGCTTCCATTTTCCCCAAACCTGCTTCCGTCATTCATCCCTATCATCGTTTCGCTTAGCCAGAGTTGGTTGGAGATGAAAGAAAATCAGAGTGGAAGAAAGTGCCGATGGTGCGATATGTTTAGGATGAACCTCAAACTTGCCAGGAAGTGATCCACATTCTAGATTTCATTAATTTCCTCTGTGGCACATAAGGAATAAGAAATGCACGATTCAGGTATGCAACTGCAACGGAGGTACAGTGGAGTCGGCTCGGAGCCGAGTTTCCAGTCAAATCCATTATCACTTACGCGATAATACTTGGGAAAAGGATGAATCCAAATCTTCTGGCCTGAAGAGGAACGGTGGAGTAATGGATAGCGGCTCGATTGAGGAATCGGAGAGCCGAGTTCGAATTCCAGTCAAATCCATTACATTCACTTACGTGATAATACACTTGGGAAAAGGGATGAATCCAAATCTTCTGGCCTGAAGAGGAACGGTGGAGTAATGGATAGCGGCTCGGATTGAGGAATCGGAGAGCCGGGTTCGAATTCCAGTCAAATCCATTACATTCACTTACGTGATAATACACTTGGGAAAAGGGATGAATCCAACTCTTCTGGTCTGAAGAGGAACGGTGGAGTAATGGATAGCGGCTCGGATTGAGGAATCGGAGAGCCGGGTTCGAATTCCATTCAAATCCATTACAATCACTTACGCGATAATACACTTGGGAAAAGGGATGAATCCAACTCTTCTGGTCTGAAGAGGAACGGTGGAGTAATGGATAGCGGCTCGGATTGAGGAATCGGAGAGCCGGGTTCGATTCAGTCAAATCCATTACAATCACTTACGCGATAATACACTTGGGAAAAGGGATGAATCCAACTCTTCTGGTCTGAAGAGGAACGGTGGAGTAATGGATAGCTCGGATTGAGGAATCGGAGAGCCGGGTTCGAATTCCATTCACCATTACAATCACTTACGCGATAATACACTTGGGAAAAGGGATGAATCCAACTCTTCTGGTCTGAAGAGGAACGGTGGAGTAATGGATAGCTCGGATTGAGGAATCGAGAGCCGGGTTCGAATCCATTCAAATCCATTACAATCACTTACGCGATAATACACTTGGGAAAAGGGATGAATCCAACTCTTCTGGTCTGAAGAGGAACGGTGGAGTAATGGATAGCGGCTCGGATTAAGGAATCGGAGAGCCGGGTTCGAATTCAGTCAAATTTACAATCACAATCGAACTCCAGTGCTAATTCCATTAAGAATGATATGAATCATCTTATCCTCCTCCCAGGTATTGGTCAATAGTGGCGCCACTGTAATTGTTAGAATTATTATTTAGAATTCGGTGGTAAAGAATTTTTGTTCAAAATTTTGAGTTATGTCTAAAGTATAGTTTAATCACAAACAGGCTATCAGACAAATGTTAGGTAAATGAAGTTAGGCTACAGTATACAATAGCCTGTGCCAAAACAATATAGTGTCACATCATTTACCTGCATATTAAGACAATAACCATATCTTTCTGTCATGTATAGCAAACAGCCTACAACCTCAATCTAATATATTTTACCTAATCCTTATGGTAGGTATCATGTATTGTATTGGTATGACTTAGCAAATATTTAAAATTCATCAGGTAATATATAACCGATAATATTTTTTCCCAAAATGAAATAGCTGGTAATTTTTATTTTAGAAATATGTAGATGGTATTTTTTTCTTCAAAATATGTAGATCTGATAATTTATTTTTCAAAAATGTATAGTTTGTGTGCTTTGGTTTGTTTTACAGCCTATCAACGTCGATTGAATAGAATTTTATTATAAACAATTGTCTTGTAAATGGAATTTTTAAAGCATTCTGAATGTAAAAATAAAGGAAAAAGTGTGCAAGAAAATAAGAAACACTACCTGCCAAAAAAAAAGTGAAGTTTTGCTGAAATCGGTGGAAAAATGTAGGAAATCCGATCCCATATATAAACGAACACACACACACACACACAAACAACCCAAACAACCTGGGTTTTACAATAAATATAACTCGATACGAGTTGTCCCCCTTTCATTCTGGCGACAGAATCGTGTTTTATCGTGTTTTCAAATTGATTTCATGCAAAAACAATTGTGTTTTTCCAATTTTTTGCCGCTGTCAGAACTACCGCAAGGTAATTTTAGGCAGTCCTGTGAAGTTTTGTTGAAATCGGTTGAAAAATGTAGGAAATCCGATCCAATATATAAACGTACACACACACACACACACACACACACACACATACACACACACACACACACACACAACCTTTTTTTTTGTAATAAGTATGATTCATAAACTTGTTCAATGGAGATATGAAAATCTTAGTTATGCCTGATTGGCTGTGAAATCGGTTATTTTATATCCATTTTCAATGGAGTTAAGTTGAAATTGTCTTATTTGATAACCGTGCTAGAAACAAAACAAAAAACACCTGAGTTTTTGTCTTCTGAGCTAAAAGCCTTACCCCAAATCTACCCGTTGTTAACAATTTCTGCAACTAAGCCAAAAACCCATGACGTTATCTTTCCGGGTGGTTCAAGTGTGATCACGTCTAAAATGTCTAAATGCGCGTAGTACGTTCATGGTACTTCTCTGGGGAAGAGATTTGGCAGGAAGCCCAACTGAACAAGAAGGCGGGAAAAATTAAAAAAACAAAAAAATAATTAAAAAATATAAATTTATTCCTTTAAAAATATTTATTTTCTAATAGTAAGAAGCAAGTCTTCTTTTATATGACATTTCCTTTCAGAATTTGAAGGATCACGGATCTCCACATCTTCCTACCCTATGTAATCCTTAGTAATTCCCGTCCTTGGTATGAAGATAAACTACATCCTCATCCTGGGTAACACGACAAAATACGCCCAACTGAGGGCCTCTGATCAAGGGTTTCTGCGGAGCGTTGAGGCACCGCTTAATTGCTGATGTTCCCAAGTCCACCCTGGTCCGCGGTGGTAGCACCTGTTAGTGTCCAGCTATGGATAAATATTTAACCCCCCCCCCAAACTGGGATCAAAACACTAGGAAAGTGTAAAAATAAGTTTTTATACTAGAAATTCTTTGTAAAAAATATTACCAGGAATACATTTTCTTTTGAAGAAAAATTATTACCAGTAATACATTATTACCAGCGATACATTTTTCAAGAAAAATATTACCAGCAATATAGTGAGAAAAAAAACCAACCAGGTACATATATTTTTTTTCTAAAAATTACCAACAATACATTTTTGAAAAAGAAAATTTTACCAGCAATAAAAATCTTGTTGGCATTAAATAACCCATTGATGTGTTGATATGCCGTAAACAAAATAGACCAAAGCAAATTATACGTTTAAAAAAATAATATATATCAGATGTAC